CCCCTAGCTTCGCCGCTGTGTCGCCCTCCCGCAGGAGGACCAGACTCTCTCAAAGGTTCGGGCAGGTACGTCTCGCCCTGTCCACTCCAACTCTGCGGTGCCCCTCTCCGGACTTCCGCAGTAGCTGCGGCGCCCTCCATGGCGCCGCTGCCAGCAGCAGCACCCTCCGTGGTGCTGCCTGACCCTTCTCCTTTGGCCAACAGCTTCGACATCATGGCCATCATGCCGTCAAACTTGCTGTCCAGCGATGCTTCCAACGAGGCTACCTTGCCTCGTAGCATCTCAACCTCATCTGGTCTCCCACCAGGATCACCACCGGGAGCATTTTCGCTCCCGTCTCCATGGCTCTCCATTTTCCGAATGGACTCCCTCGAGGGATGGGTCACTAGTGTGTTGTATATGTCCGCGACTTGGAAGGGAGAGACTGAATATCGCTTGTATTAGAAACGCAGAAGCAAGAAAAGAGAAGAAGAAGAGTGCTTCCGGAAAACAGAGAAGCAGGGGTCACAAACACAAGAACCCCAAAATGGTATGTCTACGTTCCTATCTGCGAATATATCCGTTACTGCGGTCGATCAATACCTGTCCGTATCCAAACACACGAACAGTTCCCCTTCCATGTCAACTGGCAGGTCCACACAAAATGCCGTCTCAGTACACCGAGACCCCCCAGTGGTACTCCATACCATTGACATCCACCAACATCGACGTTTAGTGGGATGGCATTCTGTCCCCTTGCCCGTACCTTCGTGTATGCTAACCCTTCTTCTGCTCCGTCTTCTTCCCCTAGGCTAGTTTACGGGATACCATGTCTACGTCCACCATATTATTCCTAGTACATATTTTCAACGTATTCGAGCCTTCCTTCCATCTACCCTCTCTCTGTGTAGTTCTGTCCGGTACGTCTCCTCCTGCTGCCAACGTGGTGGTGGCCCCGATTCTCAACGAATGCAGGCCAACCTGTTTCGGGTCGCCACCTGCCTCCTCCACAATCTGGCGAAGGGCGCTAAGAGCTTTGGAATATCCCCAAACCTTAATCGTCTTGCTCCTCCTACAGCGGCACGAACACAGAGGAGCGTCCTCAGGTAACGCGAGATGGCACGCCATCAATTCCACCAACACCGCCACGGCACCGCCACGGCTCCAATCTGAGAACTCGCGCCTCGTGCTACTTCGCGCACTCGTGTAACGCACGCCCCCTTCTCCGACTGGTCCCCTTTGTGGCCGCGAAACCGAACCCGAACTCCTGTGGCCTTGTGCCAGTGCAAC